TGCTTGGGTATTTTTATAAATACATGTCTAGGATTGGGTATTTTTATAAATATCTATTAAAATTAATGTGGATGGCAGTTGTATGGGTGAGATGGGATCTATTAGTGCTGGAGGCATCATAAGGGATTCTACGGGTGGATGGACTAAGGGCTTTGTCACTAATTTGGGGTGTGGTAAAATCCTTGAAGCTGAATTATGGGGTATTTTCAGAGGTTTACTCCTTACGTGGAACGAAGGTATTCGAAGAATTAAGGTGGAGTGTGACTCTTTTACTGCTGTCTCCTTAATTAATGGAGAGACTAGGCCTAGTCACCCTCTCTCTAGCCTCATCCACAGTTGCAAAGACATGCTATTGCGTGATTGGGAGTGTTCCATTTCGCATATTTATAGAGAACAAAACATTGCTGCTGACCATATGGCACATATTGGTCAAAGCTCCATTTTAGGTTATTATGTTGTTGATCTTCCCCCTCCTTCTATTGTAAGCCTCTTGACAAATGACTCTGTTAGGATGACCACTACTAGGCTTGTCCTAGTGTAGTTTTCTTTTTGGTTTTTTCTTGGGCTTCGGCCCTCCTTGTAACCGAAAAAACAAAAAAAGAAAAAAAAAGAAAAAAAAAAGAAATCATTCATTTGGATGTTTAATACAACAGACATCATTTGCATGTCTACTACAACATTTCCAAAGTTGACAGCATTGTTTGTTTTAGAATTGCTCTCTTTTGTGGAAGAAATTTGTTTTTTCTTTCTTTTTCGGTATGGTGGGTTTATCATCATTCTTCTTTTCAATACTCATTTTGGATTATGGCTGTGTTTATTTGCTAAACTGAGTAAAATCTAATTGAAAATAGTTGTTCATCAAAGCAAGTCATAAATAGAAAAACGTTGTACAGTCCTGCTTTTGCTCTAAAAAACGAATGAGTGAGGGGCTTAACTTAATTAGCACAAGAGTATAGTTTTCTTCAGACTAGACTGAGAATTACACTGAAAGATAATTAATACGTATATTCAGTTATTTCAAAAGCCAAAATATACCAATTATGTATGAAAAAAGTGTTGTGAAAATTGGCTCGCATAAAGGATACAAGTTTCAGAAACATATCAGGAAGAGACCGGTCGCCGAAGACTCTGCCTAAAAGCGACCGGTCGCTCGAAGCAAGCGACCGGTCGTTTTTTCAGGCAGATTCGAAGTCTGGAGCATTTTCTTCTGGCGACCGGTCGCTTATGATTCTGCCAAAAAGTGACCGATCTTTAGAAGCCAGCGACCGGTCGCCCATCACGTGCTGTTTTGGATTTTCTCGAGTTTTCAACTCTATTTTCAAGGGCTATTGCCTCCCACCTACTTGCAAAGACTTTAGGGGTCACTTTTGAGTCAGAAGAAGGTTGACAATCAGTTGGGAGGTTTGAGGAAGCATTGAAGGACATTGGAAGACTTGTTTCAAGGTGTAGCTACCCTATGGTTCTATATAGGATGGCTGCACAAGTAGCCATCAATACATAGCTTGTGGCTGGCCTAACCTGTGGTCCATGTCAGGTATTCAAGGGCAGAACGTGGGAGACAAAGCAAGGGTCCCCTCTCAAGTCTAGAGACTTATGTATTAAAGGAAAGAGGGAGCAAGTCTGAAATTGTTTAGAGAGAGTTGGAAGAGAAGTAGCTGGAAACTAGTGAGTCAAGAAGAGGAGAGAATTCTCAAGTGTATCTAGGTGTGAGCAAGGGTGTGAGAGAAACAGATTGTGAGGGTAGTGTTCTAAGGGGGTTTCTGTGTAAACCAAAGTTGTAACATATCTTCATTAGTGAAATTTCTCAAGGGGATCACCAAAGAGGATGTAGGCAAATTGCTGAACCTCTATAAACACTTGTGTCATTTGTGCTTGATTTATTTTCTGTGTGTGTGTGTAAGATTCATCCATCATTGAGTCTTGTCCAAAGTCCATCAACAACAAGGTCTAAAGGGGAGTGAGTTGGTTCTAATTCACAACAAAAAAGAAGAAGGAAGAATCAGAGACCAGAAAAGACGACAATTGCAATTGCTATAATTGATGGTAATCAGAACAAGGAAATACTGAAGTAAACAAATTCTCCCTCCCTAGGTGTTACTTGTTATCCTGGCTTTCAACCATAGCCATTCTTGTATGTTTTAGACGAAGGATCGATATGCCTTAACTTCACCCTTTCAGGGTATATTTCTTCCCTGTGAATGCTTGCAACTCTAGCTCTTCTTCCTTGTGAGAGGGCTCTTGCCTACTGCTGTTGTTTGGGGAAACTTTTGGGGTTTCATTCATGGGCCGGTTGACATTTGAACCAAACACAAGCTTTCCAGAATGTTGAAATGAAGCAGAAGCTGATGACTTTGAACCCTTATTGGTTCCATTTCCACTCTCCGTTTGGTGCTTCTTGAGTACAGGAGGAGAGGAAACTGCTGGTGCAATGGATTGTGTCAAGACCGGTTTTCCATCCAATTGTCTTGCTGAACCAGTAAAGGGACTGAACTGTGCTATCTTTTGAGGTGGCTCTTCATCTTCTTCAGCTTCTTGTGGTCTCTTCTTTGGCCGAGCCGAGTGTTGTATTAATAACTGACACAAATTAATGTGCAAACAACCACGAATCTATTGAAGTATAGATTATGTAAGTACGGGGTCGATTCCACGAAGAACTGTCGGCTTCCTACAAGTTTTAATTTGAGTACGTAAAGAACACTTATTTAACACACCACAAAAGCACAATACAAATTGGAAACTAAAAATGAGTAAAGAAAGGTAAAAGAAAAGAAACAAAACAAGAAACCAAAGAAAAACACAAACAGCACTTTCTATCACCCTTTTATCACCATTTGGACAGATTCGTTTCTCTGTTTTTCAACTTCGACCTCTGTTCAGTGTTTGGCCTATAACTTTTCAACCATTTGTCCAAATTTCACGTTCTTTATATGGTTGGATTCAGCATAGAAAAAAAAAAAGAATGCAACGCAGACCAAAAGTCAAAAACAGTTATAGAAATAAACAAAATTCAAAGAAGAAAACACACACACACACACATTGGGGGGTGGGGGGGGGGGGG